AATTGTGGTACAATAAATAAATCAAAATTTTAATAACTACTTAGATGAAAATAAATAAATAAAAAGAATTTAAGTGGTAAAATTGCATTAATTTATTTTTATAATTTAAAATAATGGCACATGTTAATCAGTGCTTAAGGGTACTGGTTAAAAACTTAAAAGGAAATTTTATTTTTCAAAGAATTATAATGAATACATTTTTTTCATGATTTTCAATGCAATCTAATACAAATTTTAATAAAAACATTTATTTTTAGCATTGTCACGAGCATTCTCTACAATTATTACCTTATAGCCAATTTTTTTCAAAAATTTTTCATTAGAATCAAATGAAATATGAGTTTTCATAAAAATAATGATGTTAGGCTTATATCTTTTAAAGAGTTCCAAAAGATATTTCCTATCATTCAAATTTTTGCCATCACGAATGTTCTAACTCAATCTTCAAATACATTAAAAAGGCTATAAAATAAAGGATGAGCAAAGGAGGATGTGATAGCATCATTATAACCATGATGTTGATCACACTTGGTGGGTAAATTACTTATTTTTTATAAAACTTTGATGAACTCAAATTACTTATTTTCATAAAACTTTGATGAACTCATTCATATAAGCCTAGAAGGGAAGTAATTAAATATCACCTTGGTGCTCTTTCTGCGTGGAAGTAGGATTGATGCCTTTTTCTTCACTTGCTTTTAATTAGACCAACAACAAGCACATGATTATTTTGTCTAGTGTAACACCTTAAATTCAATTTTAATTAAATAATAATTTCGCAAACCAGATAACCAAATTTTCATAAAAGATTTCGAAATAAGTGAAGTGTTACAAATTAATATCAAATAACTGCTACAGGACTAGTTCAATTACAACATTTTCAAAATAAATTCTATGTCCTATAGCAGTCCATCCGTCCCTTCACTGAGTCCAGTGTTGATCGTCTTGGTTACCTAAAAAATGAATATAAGGGTGAGTACTCTACACTACCCAAAATCACACAGTCAACATAGAGTCTCACCTCCAGCACATTACCAATATATTAAGTAAATACAATCACAAGCAGCATTATCACACAACTCAAGTCAATTTAACACCAATGCACTCATGGCATCGGTAGCATTTCACATTCATAAGTACAATCCACGAACCCGTGCATATGCACACCAGCCACACTCACTGTGGCACTGTGATCACTAATTTACACTATGAATAGTCGCCGGTTACCCCCACCTCACGGATACTACGTGAGCAGTCACGGGTCGCTCAGCAAAGGTAGTGATCAGAGGTCTAGTCATGAAGAGAGTGTGTGGCCCGTGGTGCACCTATTCCACAGTCGGTGTCACCACTACTCCCTCTTCTCCAAGGTATTTCTACCGTCCTCATCTTCTACACCCCCAGCGTATCGCCGAACCATTCACAGCACATAACAACGGCGCTGACACGCCCATTCACATATATTCCATTTACGCATGCAATAATCATGCTTACACACGGTACACAGTTCATATTACATCCAAATACACAACGCTAGGCTCACATTTATTTCACATTACACGACACATAGCCAAAATTCAGTTATATTACACGGCCCTCGGGCCCACATTTATTCACAATGTACGGTACATAGCCTTCATTCATTCACAATGTCATTAATTCACAATTCAATGGTATTCCATCATACACAATCACCCCGACGGGGCCTAACTATTTTAGCACACATCACAGTGCACACCAATTTCTATCAAATACACAATTTCTACTCCTTATCTCAGTCACATTGCATTAATCAATAAAACATACAAGAATTATAATACATTGAGATAGGGTAGAGTCTCCCCTTACTTTGGATTGAAGACTCACACTTGGATTCGACTACGGACGTGCTCCCTACACATATTTCGGCCTAAAACGCATGGAAGAATTCCATGAGAACCCAAGGAAACTCAGAAACAGAGAAAAGGGGATGAGAAACGGAACTCTAACTATTAAAACTCACCTCCAAGCGTTCCCCACATGAATTCAACCTTTAATCAAGCTCCCGAACGTCTTTTGAGGCAGTTAATCGGTGGAATAGGACTCTAGGTATGAGAGGATGGAAGAGAGAGGGAGAAATAACTCTCCCCAAATTCTAACTCCTTTTAAATCCTTTTCTGGTCGCGACACTCTCACTTCAGCGGGACCTCGCTGCAGTGACACGCCCTCACGCTGCAGCGAAAATATCAGACGAAACAGCACTCTAGTTTTTGCAGAATCTCGCTAGAGCGAGATCCTCTCACTACAGCAAGACTGCAGCTAGAAATACAACTCAAATTGTCGCTTCGTCGCTACAGTGATACATCTCTCGCTACAGCGAAAAGGCGACAATTTCAGTCCTTCCTCCCAGGGCCCTCTCGCTACAGCGAGAACAACCCAGTATCACGCCCGGCACTTAGGCACTTAGCCCATCTCCGCCCTATCCAGTCATGTATACACATAAATATACACATCCATGTACTTAATACATATAAATATCATTATCAAATAAATCAACACACATATGAATATATATATATATATATATATATAATAATTGATATTACCAAAATTCGGAGCGTTACATATAGGTGCTTCCCTCAAAGAAAATTTTACATTATTGGTACTAACCTCAGTTAAAATGATTTGGCTTGATTCTTTTCATTTTTATTATTAGTATTTTGTTGCTTCTTTTACTTAACATTATAGTTCCTTATTTTATAATCCATATGTAATGACAAATAATCTTTTAAATTCAACTTCTCATGATTAGTGACCGTTGATTGTAGCTAGTCACCATTGTCATTGATTTGTTCCTCACCACCTATCTATCATTAATCAATCATGGAAAATTTTGTAATATTCTCAAGAATCATGATTTTGCTCCTTATGAGCAGGAGAGTAAATTTTAGCCACGTGCTATAACAATCATAAGAAGATATAATATGTAGAGCTTCACATTTATATTATGCTAAAGACCACTGAGACCAACCATACCAACAACAGGCTTAGATAGATTCACTTTCATACAACCACATGCAAAATGATATACACATGGGCAATTAGAACAATTTCACCATATAGTACCAAATTAAGCCTTTGAAATTGAGCTTGTTTTTTCCTCTTTGACAATTAGATTAGTAAATTGAAGAGACAAGATTAGATAGATAAGTAATGATCTAAAATCATTTAAGAATCACCTTTTATCACTTTCAATTTGTCATTGATAATCAAATTGAACAATATAAAAATCATTGTCAACATAGTTATTTCAAAAGGCTTATTTTGTTTACCAAAACTTTCCGAGCCTATTACACAATAAAACATAACCAATAGATTTTTTGGGTATTTAAACCATAAAAGTATTAAACTGTGACTTATACAATTTTTGTTCCACTTAATCACTTCGATGTATCAAAAGGTTTTAGTTTATTACTACCAATAAATTTTACTTCAGACTAAATTTTGTCTCAACAAATCCATTAGCTCATGTTGAGAATACATTATACAATTTACCTACAAGCTTATTATGAGAAAAGAGAGATATTACTCTTGCATTTATTAAAATTACTCATCAAGTCTCTATGATCAAGTAATTTTTTTAGTAATTGTTAAAAAAAAAAAAAAAACTTTCTACCATCAATCATATATACCTTTAGTATTAATATAAATTTTAAAAAATTTAAAATGTCATAAAAATTTGTTTACTATACAAAAAGTAAATGAAAATTTTGATGTAAAAGTTATTTAAAAATTTTTTCCAAAAGTAAGGACTAGTTTACAGAAAAATAAACAATTAAAGTTGTTCTAACAACCAAATTTTTTTCACATGTTGTAATTAAATTTTGTAATTTTTTTTAAAATACCATGCTGGTTTAAGTAAAGTAACACAACAAAATTATACATGATATATTTGATTCAGGTCAAATTTGAAGAAATAATTAAGAATGGTTAAAAAATGATGTTACAAAATTACTCTAAATCTATAAATAAATGATAAATTATATTTATTTAGTCAAAAATTGATAAACATGGATGTTGATAACAAGATACATAAAACTGTCCAACTTAAAATTCATAAATGCGCATTAACTATGTGTTGCGTCACAATGTCGATACATTATTGAATAAATATCTAGCTGTCCTTCATTTTCAGAAAAAAAATAGCCATACTATTTTTATTGCAATTTAGTAGTGAAATATATATATATATATATATATATATATATATATATATAAGTTAATGTTGTTTTAAAAAGACAAAAAAAAGGTAATCATGTCATAAAAAATTTAAAAATTAATAAGAATAAATTCCTAGTGTACTATATGAATATTATCAAATTAAAATAATATTTTAAATAAATATTAAAAGATATATTATATGATTAAATTTAAATTTAATAATTTTTTAAATTTAAAATAATTATTTAAAATTATTTATATACATATATTATTTAAAAAATTGTGAATAAAAATAGAAAAATGAATAAACATTAATTTTTAATAATTTGAATGTTATTTATATTATTTTTTTATCTTTTATTAAGTTTTATTTTGATTTATTTTCAATATAAATTTTTCATATTATTAATTAGTTATAATGTAATATTAATATAATTTTATATTAATTAATACGTAAATAAAAATTCTTAGTAACATAAAATTCATAATAGTATTTTTTAACATTATTAATAAATTAAAATTAATTAATTATATTAATTTTTAAAAAATATAAATTATAAAATTATTTTAATAAATACAATGCACACAATTGCACACTCTTCTCATAAATTCTTCCCTTTTTTCACCGCTTGGCTAAAGGAAATAACTTATTATTTTGAATTTATGTAATATTTAAAGAAAGAATTTTAAAATAAAAACATTTAACTTTGTTCACATAAAGGTGCGTGCTTTTTTTAACCTCTCTCTTCACCTTCTCTCTAGCACTGGTTTATATTCAGTCTCCGCATTGAGAGACAGAGAGAGATCTGACCCATTTTGCTCTCAATTCTCTCTCTCTCTCTTTCTGAGGTACTTTTCCTAATTTTGGAATTGGATTTTGGGAGTCAAAAGGGTCTTCTTTTTTGCAAACTCTCTCTCTCTCTCTCTTGCGGGTAAAATCCTTTTGTGCTTATCTCACTCCTCCACACTGGTATTCCTCTCTCTACCCCTTTTATCATTCTGCATTCCTTGTTTTCTGAAGCTTTTTTTCTTCTCAATTTTTCTGCCTTTTTGGGTATATCAATCTCGTGGTGTGGCCATTCAAGGTATTTGAATCATGCCCTTTTGATCTTTTCCACCGTCTTGTAATTGTCTCATTTTTTTAGATTTGGGTTTGCATGCTTGTTTATTCATAGTAAAAGGCCTGATCTTTGCCTTGTAAATTGTTTTTTTTTTTGGGGGTTTCAGTTTTTTGCATGTTTGATATGAAGGTGATATAGTCCATAGATTCCTTTGTCCATTTGACATGCATGGTTGAAATTGTATGATTGGGATCAAATTGATCAAATTCGCGTAATCATACCAAATAGGTGTGCATCGTTTATTGAGCCTTGATCTACATTTTTTTTTTGGTTTGAGAAAAAATAGAAATTGATAGCCATGGTTGGCAATCCTAAAGTTTGTTTTTTTTTTTATTAATGTATTGTCATTTGTGTATCTGGTGTTTAGGCCTGTGGATCAAACTATTGAATTATATACATGCTCATGAATGTTCCCTGTGTTCATATGCAGCATTTATTGTTATTATTATCAAAGGCAGCATTTATTATTATTATTGCTCTTATTTTTATTATTATTTTTTGCTTTGTAATAAGGTATTTTGGGTCTTGTGAGTCTGTCCTGTAGTTGGAACCATGGCAGTTGAGGTTGTGGGATTTGAGATGGTTGAAGGGCCAGTGGATAACAATGCTGAAGGAGACAAATCTGTTTCACAAGAAAATGTAAGTGAGAAATTGGAACAAGATGCAGGAGTTGCAGAACCCATTAAATTCGGGTCACATGGGGATGAATCTGCTAAAGAAGAAGGGAATGTTGTTTCAGATTCCAATGCCCCCAAAGATGTCCCCAAAGATGCTGTTGAAGAGTGGCCTGCGCCGAAGCAGATACATTCTTTTTATTTTGTCAGGTTCCGGCCTTATGATGATCCCAACATTAAAGCTAAACTTAATAAGCTTGATAAAGAGATTAGCCAGAAAAATCAAGTGCGGATTAAGCTTACTGAATCTATAAGGGCAAAGCGGGTGAGTTGAGAAACTTCTGTCATGGTTACTTGATAACATTGTGTTGTTATTGGTGGATTTGAAAATTGGAAGAGGATAGAAAGAGGGATCTAAATACTCCTATTCTCTTCCTCATCATTTTCAACTTTATCAAGAATGTCTTTGTATTATTTTTGGCATTCATTGTTCCATATGCATAATGGCTTTGGATATAAAATTATCATTTTACGTTATGGTCATTTTTGTCATTACGGTTTTAATTTGCTCGCTTTAGTCCCTCCAAATTCCAGCCTCATGATTTGTTGAATTCCAGCCTCATTTAGATTCTTCGGTTAAATGGTGATTTGTCATGTTAGAATTTTGTCCTAGACTACCTCATGAATAATGGTCGATGCATTATCCTTGACCGAAGTAATTTGGATGGAGGATCCCCAGAAGGGTGACATTCGACAAGGGGTGTAATTGGTAAATTGAGCAATCACCAGAAGGGTGACATTCTACAAGGAGTGTAACTGGTAAATTGAGCAAAGAGGTGAAAAAGTAAGGACTAAAATAAACACAAAATAAGAATATAAAGACCAAAAGCTAAATTATCCCTTTCTTTATGTCAGGGCACTGTTACCCCTTGACAATTAGTGTCATTTTGTCCTCGTGCCCCACTTATTTGATATATAAATTCTAAGCTTCTTTATGCATTTATATTTCCATTGAATGGAACACATGGCAAAATGTTATAATACCCTTTTAAAAAGGTTTGGAGGAATCTCTTTTGTTATATTACATTAGTTCAACATACTGCAGTGATTGTCACAGCAGCATCATGCTGCAGTTGCGGCCCACAATGCAACCCTGATCATGCTATAACTGCAACCCCAATTTTAGTTATTTTTTCATCATTCTCCTCTCCATGTTTGAATATTGCATTGCCTACTCGAAACACCTTTGGTTTATTGTTATGAGCCATTAACTGCCAGAAAGATGCATTTGTTAAAATGAGAAATATAGGTTTTAGGATGCCGACTTTCTCGTCTGTGAGATCAAGTACGAATTTCTAAGTTAAATGAAATTTTCTTTTTCTATGAATGGTTTTACTGAAAGATTAGTTTATTATCAAGCCATGGGATAGGGTCTAGCTGATTTTGTATATTGGCTCCTGTGTTTCTTGTTTTTTTTTTTTTGGTTGTGAATTAGAGATGGCTAGCATCTATTTTGTTGGATTTTTCAACTTGTGCCCAAGGGCATACAATAAGAAATTAATAAATATTGTTTTTATTGAAAATTGGAACATTTAATGTTATTAATGCATTGAATTTTGTGATATCTTATGATTTCCAATAAAAACTTAATAAACCAAGGTTCTTATTATGTGCTCTTAAGCACACATTAGAAAAACTGTTATTTTATTTACTTGTCGTTTTGTAAAAATAGATGGTTAGCATTGAAACATTGTTGTGGAATAAAGTCTGCTAAAAAATTATCTGGAAATTTATCTGATATATAAGCAAAAAGTTGATGCGAATTGCACTTACAAGTTACAACAATTGACTGTCCTTCTGTTAAAGCTTATATTTTGGATTGACATGACATGTAATGTAATTGCATATTTGATCTTTATGCAGTCAGAAAGAGCGGAGTTGATTTCTCAGATTAAGGCTCTAAGAGATGACAATAGGCAATTTCAGAATATTGTCGATGAAAAAATAAAAGAGATTGGACCTCTGCAAGAGGCACTGGGCAAGCTGCGTACTGCAAATAATGCAGGCCGGGGTGGATTGTGCTCATCTGAGGAGGAACTTGACAATATTGTATGTCTGAATCCAAGTTCTTTTTAATGCAGACTTAATCACTTTGTCTGTAATGTAGTTAATCAAACTTCACTCACATACCTGCTTTTGATGGGTGCAGATATACAGCTTGCAATACCGCATACAGCATGAGAGTATTCCATTGGCTGAGGAAAAACAAATCCTTAGAGAAATCAAACAGCTTGAGGGGACTAGGGAGAAGGTTATTGCTAATGCGGCTATGAGAGCCAAAGTGCAAGATTCTATGGGACAGAAAGAAGCCCTTCAAGATCAGGTTAAGGTAAATGGTTTTGTTTCTGTTGTTGCTATGGAGCTTCTGGTTTTGGTTATTGTTCTGAATCTGTAATTGTGTATTGTGTAAAATATTCTGTAACAATAACTTTCCATTGCAGCTTATAGGCGTTGATTTGGATGGAGTTAAAAAAGAGAGGCAGGTAGTTCGGTCCAAAATCAAGCAACTTGATGATGCGCTGAAAGCCATAGACAAGGATATCCAGTCTTTACAGGAAGAACTAGGAGCTGTTACTCAAAAGAGGGAAAAAGCTTATGAAAGCATTCAGCAGCTAAGAAAACAGCGTGATGAGGGGGTGTGTTTTGCTTTCTTATAACGCACATGCACAAATCTTACTTTTATACTTCTTATTATTAGTTAATATGTGGTACTAAGCTATACTCTTTCTTCTGATCCAAATTTATGTTGACATATTTAAAGCTCCCCTTCCCCTTTTCTTCTGCTTCAGAAGGGACTCATGGGCATGCCGTTGAGCACATTGACCTGTCCATTTACTGTTTCTGAAATTTGTTGTCTTTTCCATTTTTCTGATTTTGAACTGCAGAATAATTTCTGAAATTGAATTGATTCTAATTTGTTCAGAACTCCCATTTTTACCAAAGTCGTGCAATTTTGACCAAAGCACGGGAGCTTGCTGCAAATAAAGATATTAATGCTCTTGAGGAACTTTCACAAGGAGAGGTTTGTCTAGATATTGTCATCATATGACAGTATACTTTATTCATCTGATCAGTATTTGCTGCATATTTTGCTAAGCTGGGATTTTGGTTGCAATCTTTTTGTGGGTTCCAGGTTGAGAGAGTTATGTCACTCTGGAGCAGTGACAAATCATTTAGGAATGACTATGAGAAAAGAATCTTACCGTCATTGGACATGCGGCAGCTGAGTAGGGATGGTCGGATGCGGAACCCAGATGAAAGGCCACTGCTGGAAGAACTGAAACCTGCTGAAACTGATGCATTACCAAAAACCACTGTAAAACAGCCTAAGGAGGAGCCGAAATCATCTCTGCATGAAGCTGTACCCACTCAGAAGGTTCAGAAAGAAACCAAAAAGAAAGGAAGGGACTTGAAACCAAATCTGGATGTTAAGGATTTAGAAGATGCTGAAGACTATGATTATGAAAGGCCGAAGGAGACTCCTGTCAAAGAGCCTGCAATTGATCCAGAAAAGCTTAAAGAGATGAAAAGAGAAGAGGAAATTGCGAAACAAAAGCAGGCAATGGAAAGGAAGAAGAAGCAAGCAGAGAAAGCTGCAGCCAAAGCAGCTATTAGAGCACAAAAAGAAGCTGAGAAGAAGCTTAAGGTGACTGTTGATGCAACTTTTTTCTCTGACTATATTTTGTGAGTACCGAAATAGGTATTGAAATAAGAATTTATCTCTTGATTTATTTTAGGAACGTGAAAAGAAAGCAAAGAAGGCTGCAGCTGGTCCAAATCCTGAGGAACCAGAAAATGAAGTGGAAGAGGTTGTTACAGAACAGGAGAAGAAGACAAATGGCAATGCTGAAGCCTTGGCTCCGGTGAAGGAGAAGGTCCAAAAGGAGAGCAGCATTAGGTCCCGGGGCAGAGCAAAAGCCACGAAGGGCCCTGAGTCAATTCCAAAAGCAATTCTTAAGAGGAAAAGGTCTAACAACTACTGGGTATGGATTGCCTCTTGTGTTGTGTTGGTTCTGGCCTTGTTGGTGCTTGGATACACCCTTCTTTTTTGAAAAGCTTAGATCTAGAAGGAACTGTAAACCAATTTTCTATGTGAGTGGCTAGGTTTGCCAGTTATTTTATGTTATATACAGCCCTCCTGGTGGAGTGGATCAAACACACACCGTGTTATGCTTAGTTCTTTCTGAGGGGAGAAGTTGCATACATTTTAGTCCGACTACGTATTTTCAAATTTTGTTCTGATTTCATGTTAACGGAAGCTTGGATTTCTGGGTTTTTTAGGGGGTAGTTTATCAGATTAATGGCACTGTGATATACTGAAAACTTGTGTTGGGATATTTTATATGTTTTAGTTTTGGTAATATATAACAAAATCTTTTGTATAATTGTAAAACGTGGTGGTTAGTTATAGCACATTGTTTCATGTGTTATTTCATTTATGAGTAGAACATCAATTTAGTCTTTAAAGTTGAAATTATTAGTTAATTTAGGCCTCATTGAGACATTTGCAATCTTTTAATTTTTTTTACATTAAAGTTTATAATTATGAAGTATAAATTTTAAAGAAATGTGTTCGATTAGAATGTAGCTGAATTAGTTTTTAACTTCAAATTTTTTAAAAATTCATTCAATCTCTTCATCTTTCTTGAAAGATTTACATGTTAATGTGATTATTATTGCTACTATTGGCCATTACTACTTTAGTTAATCCTGTTTATCACTGTCAGAATGCTAAGCAATCGTTATCAACCATTGCTATTATTGTGACCATTACCATTATGGTTTGTGACACTGCCTTAGTGACCTCTATTATCATGGATGCCACTAGTTCATTTTTTTCATTATCACTATTCTCTTCGTTAATTGCAGAACCATTAATAAGTACTTAACTTTTTTAGAGGAATTCAACCCCTCGATTATATAAAGGGACTCTTCTATATAATTGAAAGATTCACATCGAAGAGAAGGATGAATAATTCAATAGCTACACAATCTCTTGTGATGTTATAAAAAAAATATAGAAAAATAAAATAAGAAATTCAATATATAATAGTAATAATAAGTATTCTATAAAAATAATAAGTATTTTTAATATATACAAAAAGTATCTTTTTATTTTATTCGGTTACTATAAACATATTTGGAATTGTAATTTTGTTAATTATAGTAAATACTTCATCAAAGTATTTTTGTTAACATAAAAAAGAACTGTAGTAACACATATGGCTTATGAAATTTCATTACACTTAAACTATAATTATTAAGTTTTAAAGTTATTAATAATTGCATAATTAATTATGAAATATAACATCATTTAAAAAAATATCACCAATTACTATAGTAACTTAAAAGTATTTTAGTTAAATTTAATTAATAGATGTATATATATATATATATATATATATTATTTTATAATATTTTGACGTATCTGAAGTCATATGATAAAAATATATAATAACTTTTATTAGAAATTATAAAATACCACAGAATTTCATATATTAATAACATTAAAATAACTTATAATGTTAAATGATAAATTTATCATCATCTACCTTTATGTATACATTAAAAAATAGTTTATCTTTTCATAATAATAATTGATAAAATCAAATATGTTATGAAAATACATGTATACTTTTTTTGTCAAAAAGATGTGTATTTGTTTTATTTGGTCAAGAAAATAATAGGGAGCGCCAAACTCAGAAGCCCGTTTAAAAGAATGAACACAACAAAAAAAAACTCACCGCAAAATTCAAATTCAAACAGGGCTCTGTCCTTCCCTCTCCTTCCATTGGCCATCGACAACCACCATGATGTCATCCTCCACCGTCGCCAACGCCGACACTTCAACCTCATTCCTTTCCACTCCGACCAAAACTCCATCGGAGAAGTCATCGTTGAAGACAAGTAGCAGAAGGAACCACCTCGATTCCAAGTCCCGCTTCGAAGCCTACAACCGCCTCCAAGCCGCCGCTGTGGCCTTCGGCGAGACGCTTCCCATTCCGGAGATCGTCGCCGTCGGAGGCCAATCGGACGGTAAGAGCTCTCTCCTGGAAGCGCTCCTCGGATTCCGATTCAACGTTCGCGAGGTGGAGATGGGCACTCGCAGACCCCTCATCCTCCAAATGGTTCACGATCCCTCCGCTCTCGAACCTCGCTGCAGATTCCAGGTCAGTAACTACTCTTCTGTTTCGCCGCGCCTTCACGAAGTTTTCCGAGTGGTTCTTCTCTGAATAGTTTTGTTCACTCGCGAAGCATTGCAACTGATTCTGTTATATGTTAGATGTATAATGAAGCACCGTTATAGTTTTTCAATCATTTGGAGTCAGTCATGTTAGGTTTCAAAATGGAATTCGAAATTACCAATTTTTGTCCCGAGAGATGAAAATGTCAATCTATTAAGTTCTTCTGATGAAAAAAAAAAGAAGCTAAATTGATAGATTTTAAATATTTCAGGGATGATTACGATAATTTTCGTTTTTTGAAAATTATGGACCGTTTTGTTTCAGAAAATATTTTTGGTTAAATTTGTTAAAACCAAACGAACCATTGATCTGGTGAGACTTTAGGTTAAGATTTATCATATTAAAAAACATTATAAAAATAATTCACATGTAATTATGTAAAATATCGATTGGTTTTAACTGTTTGTTTGAAAGTGGTATAGTTAAATTGGTCGTTAGATTAAACTGAAACTGGTTAAGTTTTTGATTCATGGTTACACCATTTTGGTCTGGTTCGGTTTTGACAGCATTGGTTTTAAATTTACAAATTTTGTTTTAGTATTAAGTTTTGATGTTTGCCAATATGTTTGATTATTGAGTATTGGTAACACAGGAAGAGGATTCAGAAGAGTATGGAAGTTCTGTGGTTTTGGCATCTACCATTGCAGACATTATAAAGTCCCGAACTGAGGCACTTCTGAAGAAAACGAAGACAGCAGTTTCTCCTAAACCAATTGTAATGAGAGCTGAGTATGCACATTGTCCTAACCTTACCATTATTGACACCCCGGGGTTTGTTCTTAAGGTGAGTGTTTGGAATTTGTGTCAAGTGTCTGTGAAGGTTTGCCTTTTATGTTTGTTGGATTGAATTCATGGTGTGAGACGCATTTGGCACTGCAGGCAAAGAAGGGTGAGCCGGAGAACACGCCTGAAGAAATTCTTTCTATGGTGAAGTCCTTGGCTAGTCCTCCCCACCGCATACTTTTGTTCCTTCAGCAAAGTAGTGTGGAGTGGTGCTCCTCATTGTGGTTGGATGCCATTCGTGAAATTGACCCAACCTTTAGACGGACAGTAATTGTTGTCTCCAAATTTGATAATCGACTCAAGGTAAGATCTATGAATGGCGCTGGTTTATTGCAACAGTTAAATTTGGTACTTTACTGCCATGCAAATTGCAACCGTTAAGTTAGTGCATGCCTCTAACTTTAATATCTTGACAAGACTGGAGACAATCATTGTTGGTCTTGTGGTTTTCGATGTTGCCCTTAGGTAGCATAAGCAGGTTTTAAATTGTGGTTGTGGATGTGACGGTTTGATGTGGTTCGTAATTACAGTCTGACATGTTGTGGTTGCATCACCACAACGTAAATTTCTGTGAAGAAGTATATAACGGTACAGAATATATTGTGTTTTAGAGATTGGTTTTAATGATCAGCTATTTAATGCCTGCAGGAATTTAGTGACAGGTGGGAAGTGGATCGTTATTTGAGTGCAAGTGGTTACCTTGGAGATAACACTCGCCCATTTTTTGTGGCCTTGCCAAAGGATAGGGGTAATGTTTCAAACGATGAGTTCCGCAGACAGATTTCTCAGGTGGACTCAGAGGTTCTTCATCATCTCCGTGACGGTGTCAAGGGGGGTTTCGATGAAGAAAAGTTCAAGTCCTATATTGGTTTTAGCCGTCTGAGAGAGTATTTGGAGTCTGAGCTTCAGAAGAAATACAAAGAAGCCGCGCCAGCAACACTTGCTTTGCTTGAGCAACGCTGCAGTGAAGTGACTTCTGAACTAGCTAGAATGGATTCAAAAATACAGGCCACTTCAGATATTTCCCATCTTAGGAAATTCGCAATGCTACATGCTGCTTCTATCAGCAACCATGTGGTGGGTAATCATTATGTCAAAACTCAATTATATTTATCTATACATGAACTGAGGAACTATAGTAACAGTTAGTACAGAACCTTTTTTTCAAAGCACTCGTATCTAGTGAAACTTTTTCTTCATTGATGGGTAAGTTTATTTTACAAAAGTTTTTTAATGCTTTCATTTATATTCTCTTCTAATTGATAATGTATCAATATCATGCATAGCACTGCATACACCTTTCACTTTGGACACCTTGGTTTAAAGTAAACTATTCACATGTATATTTTTAACATCTCTTTAGCAAATGTTGTCGAATATTATGGACATATATCAAGTTAATAACTATTTCTTCTGAAATGGTTTAGGGTGCATTGATTGATGGTGCAGCGGATCCTTCCCCTGAGCAGTGGGGAAAAACAACAGTAGAAGAGAGGTCACAGAGTGGTATTGGGGTTTGGCCTGGTGTCATTACCGATGTAAATCCCCCCAATGCCACTCTTCGTCTTTATGGAGGAGCTGCATTTGAGAGGGTAATGCATGAATTTCGCTGTGCTGCATATTCCATAGAATGCCCCCCAGTGTCAAGGGAGAAGGTGATTTTCTTTTCATAAACTCATGTGAGGAACATTTTTCATTGAAATTTCAACTTCAAATTCTTGAATATCATTTTTAACAGGTTGCAAATATATTACTTGCCCATGCTGGCCGAGGTGGGGGAAGAGGAATAACAGAGGCTGCTGCAGAGATTGCACGAGCTGCTGCTAAGTCATGGCTTGCTCCCCTTCTTGACACTGCTTGTGATCGACTTGCTTTTGTCTTAGGAAGTTTATTTGATTTGGCTCTAGAAAGGAACCGCAGTCATGGTTCAGAATGTAAGTGGGGCTCCTTATTGGCTTACTGTTCTGTCTGAGTTATTATGTTTCTTATTAATGGTATAAATTTCTTCAGTAGTTGTTCTACTCAGGTATCATGTTATTTCCCTTGCCGGGGGACTGATTTCTTGAGCTTAAAGATCTTTCAAAGTGCTATTGTAACTTATTTCATTTTCTGTTTTTTTCTGTTTGGGCAATTGATTAAATAATGTTCTATTGTTTTAACTTCTTATTGTGTTATATGTATTGATTCGTTTCATTTCATGTCAGTTTCTCGGAATTTTCTTCATTTGTTATTGTTCATCGTTTATTTCTTGTAATTGATTAGAGAAACTGACTGGTGCTTGTTTTCTTTGAAGGTGGGATTAAAGTGGGAAACATGGATGGCTATGTAGGTTTTCACGCTGCTTTAAGGTGTGCTTACAGTCGCTTTACAAATGATCTTGCTAAGCAGTGCAAGCAGCTCGTTAGGCACCACCTTGATTCAGTTACTAGTCCGTACTCACAGGTCTGCTACTTCAATGACTTTCAACCATGTTCTGGCCTAAATGCTCCCACTAACAACAAATTCAGCCAGGCTTCAGCCTCTTCGTTTTTCCTTGAGTTGAGTGATACTAGTTCAGCATCCCATAATGTAATGAGGGATCAGGAAAATATACCTCCAGAAAATAATGCACAGGAAACCACGCCAGGTAAAGCCGCAGAAGCTAGAGACGCTTTGCGAGAAAGTCACATGACAATCCCTGAGACCCCTTCTCCTGATCAGCCAGGTGATCCAGTATATGGGGTGGCTAAAAAGGAGCTAGGAATTTGCAATGATGTGGGGCCAAGAAAGAGAGTGTCCAGAATGGGAGGGAATAGCAAAAATTCTGACTATATTAGACTGCAAAATGGTGGCATTTTATTTGGAAATGGGGAGAGATCAGGTTCTGCTTATACAGAAATCTGTTTATCAGCTGCTCAGCATTTTGCACGTATACGTGAAGTTCTTGTTGAGAGAGGAGTGACATCAACATTAAATTCTGGATTCCTAACCCCTTGGTAAGCTTCTTTATGTCCTGAAACCAGTTTATGCCTGTAAGTTTGCATACCTAAATGCTGCACTTAATATTAGGTAGACTCTTCTGACTTAGTAGTAGTCCAACATATACACCTTTTATTACATTGCTCTCACTTCAGTAATACTTCAATCAATACCTTTCTCTGTCCCAATTCGTATGTTACTTTTTTCATTCAACTTTCAAGTGCATCTTACCATTTTTCACCCATGACCTTATAATTACAAATTAAAATGTAAGCGTCAAAGTATATATTGACTTTTTATTTATTTATTTTCTGGTTGTTTTGATTTGTTTTACAAAAATTAGGTTGTTACTCAATAAATTTTACTCGTAAATGCTACAGTTGGTATTTTTCATCTTAATGTTTCTTCATTTAAATTACTTCTTTCCAAATACCTGTACTCCATTTCAAACCATAACCTGAATTAACCACAGTAATGATATTTAAGTTCACGCACTCTTGTGCAAGCTATTAGATATCATTCTAAATCTGTTTAAATGGTCCATATGGTACACATACCTCAGTTCACGCAACAATTTTTTTAATGTTGTGTTTACTTTGTGCAGCCGAGATCGGTTATTCGTGGCTCTTGGGTTAGATTTATTCGCTGTGAATGATGAGAAATTCATGGACATGTTTGTTGCCCCTGGTGCCATAGATGTGCTACAAAATGAACGAGAGTCTCTCATAAAGCGGCAGAAGATACTGCATTCTTGCTTGAATGAGTTTAAAAACGTTGCTCGGGCTCTTTGATTAGGGTCACTAGCTATCCAATGAGCCAATATTTTGGCTATGCTTTCGGCAATTTATAAGCTTGTGAATTGATATGATGCAGTTGTTAACCAATTGGATAATAAGATACCAATGTATTTAGAGAAAAGCCTCTCTTTACACCAAATGCTGTGAAGAACCCTAACTTGGTGTTATGCCCATCCAAGGAAGGCAACTTGGGCAAAGGCGTGGAAGCATTTACGTAACTGTATCAGGTGAGAGAAGTACCTGTTTAGGTATGCGTTAAAATGTCACGTAATTAGATTCATTGTTGTAACGTGGTTTTATAGAAAATTTTGATATTTAGATTTAGTTGCTTTCATAAAAATTATCTTAAATTCACAATTTAGATAAGGTGATAAATTGTTTTTCTGCAGAGTAAAAAGTTTTATAAAATTTAATATTAAAAATTATAAAACTTTGTTATAGATTTATTTTTAAGATAAAGAATTTAAAATAAAATTTACATTATTTAAAACTTTTTGAATAAAGGTCCAGTTTAAATAAATTTATCTGTTTACATGAAAAAAAACAAATACATGTTTTTTTAATAATTTAAAGTAAATATATATGCTTCATTTATTTAGAAGTTCTCTTATTTAACATTTTTAAAATTTAAAGTGTATAATATGATTTTAACTACAAAAACTTAGTTTATTATCTTTTTACTTTTTTTTATATGTATTTATTAAAAAGTTTATCTAAACTAAAACTACTTTTGTTTGGCCGGCTTATTGCCAGGGCATGACCATCCTATTTGCAATTTTATAAACAGATTACAGACTTTTGGCTTGAATTGCTGATTATTTGAATGAGACATAATAACTTCAATAAATAGAAATACAAGCCTAGGCTTTTAGAAAGGGATGACCATATGAAATTTGAATGTTGTTTGTGTCGTGATAACATCATTCATTACTTCAAATAGAAAACAAGCCATGGCATTACTACATTAAAAGGGGAAAGACAGCTATAATGGAAGCACGCTCCTACACTATTCATGAACCTCTGAAAAAGGCAAATATCAAAGGGTCCTAGTCCCACAAGATAGTATTATCAGAATCTAATCATAATCAAAATTCATAACAAAGGCATCAAATGTTACATTAGTCCAGCTCTTATCCCTCTTGTCCTATGCTCTTTGGTTGATCTTAACTTCAAGTGTTTTGTTTTCTATACAAGCACACCAATCCATTCTCCCTAAATTTTTGGGTACCAGTTTGATTTCTTTGACTTGAAGGCAGGGTTTTATGATTCCTTACCACAAATGTAGGGGTGTATTTAAAACTGGTTTGAATTTGGCCCAACTGCTTTTAAACCGGCTTACAGACAATACCAATTTTGATTCAAATGGTTGAAAGTCATATTTAAATTTATAATTTAATTTGAATATACTAAATTATACTGTCTTTTCATCGTGAACAGTTTAACACTCAAAAGTACACTGAAATTAACCTCTTCAACTTAATCTTATCAAATTTTAAAATTGTTTTTTAAACCCAAATCAGTTTTAAAATAAATTTTGAACTACAACAGATTTAGTAGTATATAACTGAATTTTAAGACTATAATATTCACATGAATTTTACTTTTTTTTCACTTCTAATCTAATAATTTTTTTTTGTACTTTTATAATTTTTAAAAAAATTTAGGTTTGTCGAAAATAATTATTAAAAAATATATTTATATATCACTCCTCTTATTAGAAATATATGAGTCATTAAAAAGAAAATATCAACAATAAAGGAGAGATACAAAATCACCAAAAATATTCAAGCATTTAAAATGTTTTAAGATTTATGATAATAAAAATTGACATTATCTAATACATATCTTATAAGAAAAATTAATAAAGTATATTTTAGAACCCTACTTTTAGTATATCAAAATACTTAACTACGTCCATGTGAGTTACATAATTTTGGATAACTCCAACATTTATCTCTTTTAATTGTAAATTTGTTAGCCTTTTTTTTTTATAACAATAAGCATAATCTAAATATAAAATTTTAAAATTTTCTCTCAAAACAAGATTTTATGGATATTATAAAGAATTCATTTTAATAATTAAAAATAGTAAAAAGTAAGACTTTTTATTTAAAATAATTTTTTAAAATATAATATTACACAAATTATGTATTTATTTTATATAAATTTTTGAGATCTATTCAATCAAATTTCAGGATGATATTTGTAAAAAAATTCACAATTTTAATATTTTGTCTATTTTTTAATTATTTTTTATGTTTTTTTGCTTCATCAATTTTTTGTAAAAAAAATATATATATGTATTTTGATATGATTCTTGATTGCATGATAATAAGATATTAAAAATGTGATGATCTCATTAATTGAGATTTACTTTATGTATATTTTTATTATTAAATAATTAATCAAAGTTAAAAGTTATTATGAAATGTCCTTTTTTATTGGTGTGAATGTCGTACTGTCTTTGGACGATTTATGTTTTAAATTACATGAGTTTAATTAAATAAAATTTAAAAAATTATATAAAATAAATATATAATTTGTATAAATTAGAATTTTAAAAATATTATGATTTTTAAAAGTTTAAAAACAAAAGACTTAAACATAATTGCACTAAACTTAAACATGTCTCGTGCTATAGGTTGCGCTGCACTACTCGTAAGCAATTTATATTTAATTTCTAGATAAGCATGTCTCGTGTTAACTTGAGCACAACTATATTATAAATCACACTACTCTTAACTAATTATGTTCAATTTTTACATAAATACTTACTATATTAACTTTATGATCTTGTCGTGCTGGAAAGATAAATATATTTTATTTTATTTTTTAAAAATGACGTATTTGATAAATTTTATTTATAAAAAACCCTAAAAATTAAATATGAATAACTAAAAAAAAAATTACAACTAAACTTATTTTTAGAGTACAGGAGGTTGTCATCTGAACAAGGTCTTTTTGAACTGGATTTTATGATTGCAACTTCCTTGCTTGACCCAAATACAAACACAAGTCCACAAAAGAAACAAATGTCATTTTGTATGATAGTAGCTGGTTCCTACCCAAATGAACAGGTCAAAAGACTCAACAAAATCGTTTGAAAAAGAAAAACATAGGTTGAATTCTGTACCGTGCTATGTACGTCCTTCTTATCCTCTGAGCCTATACTGAACATGCTCATAGCCATCATTAAGCTTAACCACTTCCACTAAGCTTGATGGTTATTCACTGTTTAAGGAAGATAGCACTTTACTTTAGATCAAATTCTTGGATCCCATGTTCATAGTTGAATTCATCTTATTATTTGGCCTCGAATCATGAATAACTATTGTAAAGCTTGTTACATTTTCATAATTTTGAGAATTGTGATTAAAGATGTTAAGAATAGCTCATTAGAGAGATTTTAAGAATAACTTCAACTTTTCATAGTTATCTAATTAAAGTAAATATAAATTTATAATTATTTAAACATAAATCCAAACGTAAAAGAATGAAACTTACTAGTTAAATCAAAAAATGTTGGTGCCCTTTAATTCTTTTACCTCTACACATATATGAGAGGTGCGAGTGATTAAAAAGAATCATATATTAAATAGTTTCCTTCGTACATAACATAGTTACCCTACCCAGCAATAAGTTAAATTCTTCCTCTTATTCTTTTTTCTTTCCTTTTTAAAGTGAATATAGACAATGATGCTCTGTGACAAAAATTCTACATGTCTGTCTCAACGATACTTATTCTCAGACTCAGTTGTTAATATCAGTAATCAATGATGAAATTAAGAAACTATGGTATTGCTTTTACTCCTCACCCAGCAATGTCTCAAACATACCAATTGTCAATAGACTCTCACCTAACAAGAAGTTTCCATCTAGCTAGAATATTGCTCTATCATTTTCATCTCTCTCTCTAGATGCCAAACATTTTGCAACACAAAATCTAACTTAATATACACTTTGCTTCTTTGTCCAAATCTAAGTCAATCATATAGTTGAGAACCTAACAAGTAATTTTATTATACTTTGCTTCTGTTTTGGGTAATAATAACCAATTAACAGGCTTTGTTTGTTTCATTTCATTTTATTTTGTTTATACTATAAGTGTTTTGTAGAGAAAGAAATTATGTTGGAGTCATATATATTTACAACATATGTTCAAGATAGTTTTCTTAGCGATTATTTTATTTTATTTGTTGTTACTTGACGAGAATTTTTTAAAATAGTTTCACAACTTTTAGACACTCTTTATTACATTTTTGGTTTAAATAATTTGTTAGTCCTGTACCTAAAACAAATTTGTAATTTAGTTTCTATGTATGAAAAATTTATAAATAAATCCATGTAAATAAATTTAGTCTCTATTATTATTTTTAATCTTATTATCATTTAATAAATTTGCAATTATATGTGCGTTTTGAAGTGCTCATTTATCACCTTCTATTTTCCATTCTCTATCTCCCTTCATTCTACATATATTATTCTACTGTTCTAGTTTTTTTTTTTTACAATTGTATTATATTGATTATTATGTCTATACTATTCTATTATTTTAGTTATTCTGCAATTGTGCCATATTGGTTATTCTGCTATTCTGGTTATTTTGCTATCTTTAATTCTGTTATTATTATATTTTATTATTCTACAATTGTGTTATTTTGAAATTCTGCTATTTTGGTTATTATGGTATACTATAAATTATGTTATTTTGATATTTTACAATTTTTCATCTTTACAATTCTACTCTTCTACTACTATATTTTGAATTATGCTATACTTAAAATTGTGTTAGTCTGTTGAACATAATATATTTTATTATATGTAAGTATATTATTGCAATTGTATATTTAAAACCCATAGCAGAACAAGATAGCAAAATCATAATAAAATAGAATGAAAGCACTAACGTGACAATTTACTCTAAAATTTGGACACCTACGAAACATTATCCATAAATTTTGAGGAGTCTAAGATATGTAAATTTTCACTTGACCCCTACAATCACGTAATG